CTTCATGACAAACAAAGTAATCATGGAGAAGATGGACTTAAGTGGAGACCATTATTCTTCTATTGCAGATTCTTAGTTACAAAGATCATTGTACCAATTTTCTTATTTATTTCATTTGTATTATTAATAATTGGTATGTTCTTGGTTTCGTTCTCATTTGATTTCTTAGGACTTGCAGGATGGGCATTAGCTATTCTAGGACAATCTCCACGAAGAGAATTCTCTGTTGTTGATCTTGGAACACAACTTCCAGGTGCTACTAGAGAACCAAATAGTTTTGCTGTTAGAATAACTCAAATAGTATATTTCATGACAATCATTGTCTTACCAATTCTTCATATGATATCATTGTTTGTATTATGGTTTGCACCATTACAACGACGATTCCAAAGTTTCTTATATCATTGTTGTGAAGTATTATATGCATGGTCATGTATTGATGTTTTTGTAGTTTCAGTTATTGCTGCTATTGTTGAATTATCACAATTTGCATCATTTATGGTTGAGCCATATTGTGCAGCTAAAATTCCACAACTTGGAGCTAGCATTGATGATATTGTAGCAGAATTCTTTGGAGAAGAAGAACTTATTAATGGTCATGAAACATGTTTCGAAGTTAAAGCCAATCTTGAAGGAGGATGTTGGTTATTATTTGTAGCAGTTATTATTTATACCGTTTGCTCAATCGCAATCATGAAAATTACAAAGAGATGTCTTGCTAAAAGACTTCCAACTGAAGAAGAAAGAGCTGTAATGAATGGAACACAGATAGAAATGGCAGAAAAACAAGAAGAAGATAAAGAGGATAAAGATAACACAAATAAAACAGAAGAAAAGAATGAAAGCGACGATAATGACTCATCTTCTCCAGAAGAAAGTGAAGAAGAAAACACTTCTTCTGAGTCAATGAAAAATGAAGAAGCAAATGATGAATAAGAAAATGTTTTTAATAAAAGAATACAATCGTCTAAAATTAATGAAACATATAAAATGTTAATTAATATTTTACTTTATATTAAATTTTTTCTTTTTTCATTTCATTAATATTGATTATTTATAAGTTGGTGAATAAAATTTTTAAAATACGCTTATTAATTATTACTTCTTAAACAAAACAAAAAAAGGTTGAGTAATAATATTAGTCAATTTGTCCTTTTAGTGTTTGTTTATTCAAAAGACATGGCATAACACATAACAAAATAATTCATAGTTAACTCTTATTTCATAATTTTTTAATTTAATAGAATAAAAAAAAGGTCAATTAATAAATTAATTTCAATGTAGTACAACTTTTTAGTATTTTATACTACTCGTTATGGGTAAATAACTTTTAAAATTTTTTGTTATTCTACTTTGTTACAATCAAAATGATTAATATAGGAAATGGTTAAAACACGATAATAAAGAATAAGAATATTAATTAATATGTTAATTATTTTGCAACGGATAAATAAATTAATTTTATTATATAGGAATTATTTTTCTTTTTTAATTTTTCTAAAATATTAATTTGAGATAGAATAATAATATCTTCCTTTCTTCTCTTCAATTTTTGAAAATAGACAATACTACAAATAGAAATTGTTCTAATTACCTCTTGTTAACAAAAGAAAATATTAATCATTCATTAAAAAATTAGAATCAAATAAACTCTTAAATATTTAAAACAAAAAAAGTTTAACATCATTAAATCAAATTAATTTTTGTTTTTTGACGTTTTTATATTATTCTTTTTTATTTTTTTCAGATTTTTTTTTTATTGACTCTAAAACGAATCTTACAAAAAAAACTGGGTATTAATTATTCAGTTCTCATGGCTGAAAGAAATGTATTAATCACTATTGCTTTATGTGGTTTGTTTTTAATTCAATTAAAACTAAGTGAATAGGTGTTTATAATTAGGAGATGCAAGTGTTGGAAAAACAGGAATTTTTAAACGTTTTATTAAAGATCAATGTTTGTAGTCATTTACAAATGAAAAGCCAACACTTATAAATAGTCAGTAAAAATGAAAAATCAACAATCTCTTGTGATGTAGCTTGTAAGAAAATGAATGTTGATGGAAGGTCTTATAATATTCAATTGTGGGATACAGCCGGACAAGAAGTATTCAGAGCCACAACCTCAACCTATTTTAGAAATAGGCATGTCATGTTATTTTGTTATGATATCACAAAAAAAGAATCATTTAATCATGTTGAAGATTGGATTAAAGAATTTGAACAAGTCCAACGAGAGTCAAATAAAACAATTAAATTTTTAATAGGGTGTAAAAAGGATGAAAATGCTAATCGTCAAGTCACTTCAAATGAAGGAAAATTCTTTGCCAAACGAAATAATATGACACATTTTGAATGTTCTGCTTTGAAGTTTGTTGTTCAAAATTTCTTGTTTTATTTGATTATTACTAATGTTTAGTGGAGAAGGTGTTACTGAAATCTTTGGAGCTGCCATTGCTGAATTACAAAAGACTGGAGGAATTGTTGACCTTGACCCAACTAAAGACATTAATGTTGTCCAAAGGCAAAAAAGACCAACTGTTTCACAACCAAAAACTTCTTCTAATCAACAAAAAAACAAAGAAGATAGTACCGTTGACATTCAACAAAATCCAGCAAGTGGAGAAGCTGGTGAAGAAGAAGCTGGTTGTTGTTGATTAATTCATTTGTCTTGGTCATTTTTAATAAAAATAAAAAATTTTAATCTAAAAGGTTAAAAGTACATTTTTTAAAATTTGTTTTTCTTCATTCTTTTGGTATTATTATTTGACTCTTATGAATTGCATAAAAATGTCATAGTTTTAAAGTTTCATTTAATGGATATAACACAACGAAGAAATAGATAATAATAAGAAGAAAAATAACAGAAAGAGATTTAAAGAATAATAATAAGAAGAGATGTAATGTTTAGAATTTCAAATAGGAGGGAGGGAGAAAAACAAATAAAACAAAGAAAAAAGATGAAAAGAATTGGAGAAA